CCTCCTGTTGAAGGCAGACTTCTGTGCACTTCTGAGCCCATATGGGGCTAAGTTGGTGGAGGCATGAGGGCCCCTGGAACACTACTCAAGGAGCTTTTTGAGTATGAATTTCTCCCCAAATGCTGATGACTCTTACTGGGTCCTTGTTCCCCAGAACTCTCCATATGTCATCACCCCAAGTGCTTCCTCCTTTCCCTACAGGGCTTCTGTGAGCCAAAAGGAGGGAGGCCTCAGTCCCCCCAACCCCCACCCCAACCCTGCCGTTTGAGCAGCACTCTTATTTCCTGTTTATAACAGCATTGCTACCCTCTTGGGAAATGGCTTAGGAATTGTGGGAGGATGGGCGGTGGTTGAGGTGGAATCTGAGAGGGTCCGCCCTGCTTAGCCACTGCTCTGGGCCCTTGAGATTGAAAAGGAAGGAAGGAGGAAGCAGTTTCCCCACTGCACTGTGCTGGTTCTAGAGCTCCATCCGGGGCAGGAGTGGGCACCAGTTTGGTCCTGTATCAGGGGCCTCTGTGGAGCAGGGGAGGGCATGTGTTGGGTATGTGAGCTGGAAGTTGGAGTGGATGCTGTCATTCTCAGTGCAGTCTGGACACTTGGGTCCATGGTAGGTCAAATAGAATTAATTAGCTCATTTAGTGTAACAAATCTTTGGGCACTGCTTGGTATGGGACTGGTGGACAAGTGACCCTTGGCCCCTGACAGATCATTGCAGCCAACATATATATGATGTTTTTGCCACTTGCCCTAGTTGACCTACAGGTAGTTATTAAGATGTGCATGTGTGCTGACTTGTCCATCACAGAGATACAAGGGGAAGACAATGAGGATGAGATAAGTGGAAATTAGGTCTAATGTTTCTTTTACCTGCTCAGCATTGTGCTGAGTGAATTCCACTTGAGAGTGCTAGCATGTATTGTTGCTTTCACAGGTAACTTGCATGGTTCAGACACCACTTCATATGTTAGCTCTGGGGAGGGATTGTTTTTGAGTTAGGACTATCTATGTGAAAAGAGGAAGCCAGGCAGATAAATGCTGTCCTTGAATAATTAGTATATGAGCCCCAGCCAGGCCAGACCAGAGTTCTTTGCCTTACCTGCCCTCTTTGTAAAGGCTACCCAGTTTGCCTGGGGTGGTATTTAAGGTTCTTCATGTTCCTGTGCCGTGGCAGGTTACTGAGAAGTAGGGACATGGGAGGCCTGTGCACACCAGGCACCTGCTGTTATTCAGGTGGCTTTCTTTTATTCTTTTTTTAATTTTTAATTTTTTTTTTTTAGTTGTTGACAGAGCTTTATTGTATTTATTTTTATGTGGTGCTGAGAATCGAACCCAGTGCCTCACACATGCTGGGCAAGTGCGCTTCCGCTGAGCCCAGGCCCCAGCCCCTCTTTGTGGCTTTCATAGACTTCTATCCATGTTGCATTTGATCCTGTCAACAGCATCTGAGGACAGAAAGTTCTTTCCCTACCAGGAAGACCAGAGATGGAGGTCTCTGTTGAGTGATGAGTGTCAGAGCAGACCCTGGGGCTTGCTTCCCGGAATGGCTGCTGCTACCTCCTAGAAAGTTTGCCTAGACTGGGCTGGAATGTATTTCTAAATGAGATAGAAAATGGCAAAGCATGTGCAAAGCCCTGTTTACCCCCAGTTCCAAAAAAGAAACAAACAACAACAAAACAAAACAAAAGATCCCAACTGAAAGTTTGCCTGAGTATCTGCCTGTCTTGCCATCCCCTGGTAAGGGGCCTGGAGGTCAAAACCTGAAGAGTAGGATGACTTGCCCTTCTCCTTGGCTTTGCCCCTTGCTCCACACAGGGATTCACCCTTTCCTTCTGTTTGGTCCTGCCTCAGCTTGTTGGATAGTGGTGGTCTGTGTAGGTGCTAGTCTCTTGCCCAGAAGGTGCCTCCAGGAATGGGCTTGCTCTGAAGTCTTACAGTAGGTCGGGGGGGAGGCCTGAGAACCTGAAGTTACTTGCTTAGAGGCAGGTAAAATCTAGGAAGTTAATCTTTCAAGCTCATTGCTTCAGAGCTTTTATTTCATTTCTTAGGTGTTCATCTCAGTCACCCTGAAGTCTCGATAATAACAACTGTGTGTCCTTGTGTGAATTCTGTATCTCCTTTTACTCTTTTGTGACTGGTTTATCCTTCCTATCAGGAGTGAGGAGTCAGTTTTGACAGGGTTTGGTGCTAGGCTTACGGTTAATAAAAGAGACCTGGAAGTTTCAGAGAGACTCTTAGCTTGGAGCTGGAGCTGTCCTTCCCTGCCTGGGGACCCAGTAGCTTTGGTGAGTTTCCTTGACAACAGGCGAGATAAGCTAAAAATAACCTTATGTAGGGCCTTCAGTGCATGTGAGAGTGCTCTCGTGCCTGTTGTGCTTGGGCTTAGTTCCTGTGGCTTCTGGATGCTACTGGAACACATTTGTGGCAACTTTGTGTGTGTGTGTGTGGGGGGGGGTGTGAGTGGTGCTCTCATTTTGAAGGCCCGAAGTTTAGAGGTCAGAGTTAGGTAATCACACAGCATAATTACCTTGGAGTATTAGTGATTGCAGGTGGGGTG